CTGTATTCTGGTAAATCCTGGACACAGTGGTGTGAACATGCGTCACGGTGTGTGGGATTTTCATCCAAGACACCTTGGCAAGATCTGCTGCACAGCTCTGCCATGTAACAGCCAATTGCAGCATGTTTGATGCATTTGGGAAATGTTAAACCTTACTGTGCCCCCAGCACCAGTGACCTTCTTTCTACAGGAATAGGAAATCTGGCACTTCAAAAGCTGCACCCCAGTACGTCCGTGCTTGCATTTGAATAGTTTCTGCCTTTAGGCTGGGTCACTATGAAGATTGCACTAAGATTGCATTCCCCATAAYTGTCAGAAATGTGAAATTGTACCAGTTCCCAATGACAAAGTAGGGCTGGAGGTGGTCACAAGCTGAACACAGGTCAGTGGTGCCACACTGCCCTGAATGGAGGGTCACATCAGCAGCAGATACAGAGCTGACACCTGCCAGGTGTCCATTCCCTCTGCTTGGGAAGGCCTTAGCTGAAGGAAGGGCTGCCCTGCCTTAGCTCATGGAGGCAGGAACCAGTGGAGAAGGGTAGGGATGTTTCTATAGTAGGAAATCACTTACATAAACAAATGGTTCATTTTTAGATAGTTAAAGTGACATCCTTGTTAGATTGAAGTGCWTATAAAATCACAAGACCTGTGTTCAAGCACCTGGAGGGACTCTAGATTGGACTGGAGTGCAGGGCTTAGGAAATCCTGTGAGGAGAAATTCCAGAACAAAAGTTCTGTGACTTTTGGTGAYAATGAACAGTGATTTTTTGTTCTGTTGCAGAGGGGTTTTGTCTGTTTCGGGGGAGCTCTGAAAAAAGATGCTGTCCCAGAATTTACTTCTCTTGCTTACAAACTGGGATGTTTTTGGCAGTGAAATTTGGGGATAATGGCTGTTTGCCTTCAGTTCAAGAGACTTCGAGGATTTGATTTACAGTATTCATAAAGAAATAATTATWGGGTATTAAGCTGAAAGAGACTGGGGATGAGATTGGGTCATAAATTCAGYGTGACTGAGCAGTGTTGTTCTGCTATGAGGGAGGCACACTGGGATGTACAAACAGACCWGTAATGTGCAAATTTCACTTATTTCTTCTTCCTTCCTTGATGCTGGAAAAAAAACCTCAGCTAGAATACCCTTAGGATGGTGATGTTTTCCAAGAGAGAGTTCCCAGGACAGAGTATCTAGAGATGCACAAGGCTGCAGAAGAAAGAATAAGGTACTGTGATTCAGCCCAGAAAACAAAACTGAGGAGAGGGGGAAGTGCCCCAGTGCTCAGGAATAGCCCATCCACCAGTCCCAAAGCAGAGGGAAGGAAGTACAAGGCTTAAAGAGGGGGGGRAAATGCAGTTGGATGTCTGGAGACATATCTTGCTAGAAAGGACAGTGAGGCACTGAAATAGCTCATGCAGAGAGGTGTCCATTGTCACAGGCTTTTAAGCACAGATTAGGGAAACATCTGTCAGAGATGACAGCAGTTTAGTTGATCACTTGGGGTAGAGGGCTGAGGAGATGATCTCTAGAGGTTTCTCCAAGTCTTACCTCCTAGGGYTCTAAGATTTATTTCTTTATTATCCAGTCGTTGTCTTGAGTCTCTGGAGATGTATCTTGCTTAAATTAAATCTGTTTAGTTTACCTTGCATGGGGTTCTTAAAGAAGAGGAAATTGTTCTGTTTTCTCCATGCTTGACTGGAAACTGTGAACAATTACGACAGCATTATAAAGAGATCAGCAAAAGTGATGATATATGTGGAAACAAATGGGAATGATTCAGTTGTACATGTGAAACAAAAAACCTATATAATTCTGAGTTACGTGAAAACCTAACTAGTGCTGATCAAATGCAAGAGGGGAAAGCCAAATCTTTCATGTGATAGAAAGTACTAGCTATAG